TTGACGCTGTTCGGCAAGCTACAACTGACAGAACTGCCTGGGAGTCTGGGATTTGGCTGGTTCCTAAGCTTCAGCCTCTGGCCCACAGCCCTGGATGTCTTACATCACAAACCGGAAGTGGAAGTCCAGAGGCACTCTGTTTATGACCTTGGAAGAGAAGTTCCTGAACATTGTTGAGCCTTAGTTTTCCTGACTGTAAAGTAGGCAGCCCCTTCCTCTGGACATAAGCTCTATCGGGATGACCATGACCTTTGGTGTTAGAAGTGAAGCCCTCTCAATATGAGAGGTGAAGTCTGCCCATTCCAATGCACATCATGCCCTCCTCTTCTTGAGGATCAAGCTTGCGTTGGCTCCACCAGGAATGGTGGCTGGTTTCTTTGGGGTCTGTGACAGACAGCATGATGGTGAGGAGGTTACATGTGGAGAATGAGACCTGGGTGAGCCCTGGGTGCTGCGTATGTGCTGTGTGACCCTGGGCAAGTTCCTGATTACCAGGCATATCAGATCCCTTATCTGTAAAAGGGCATGATCCAGGAACCCGCCTCTATGGTTGCCTTGGGGATTCACAGAGATGCTGCATGAGCACAGTACCTGGAACATACTCCTAAGTACCTACTGATCGCTAGGTGTTACTGTTTGTGGGTTGTTTGTTTTTCTGAGACATGGTCTCACCCTCACCCAGGCTGGAATGCAGTGGTGGGATCTTGGCTCCCTGCAGCCTCAACCTCCTGGGCTGAGGTGATGATTCTCCCACCTCAGCCTCCCAAGTAGCTGGGACCACAGGCACACGCCACCACAACCGGCTAATTTTTGTATTTTTTGTAGAGACAGAGTTTTGCCATGTTGCCTGGGCTACTCTCAAACTCCTAGGCTCAAGCAGTCCTCTTGCCTTGGACTCCCAAAGTGTTGGGACTACAGGCGTGAGCCACCGTGCCTGACCTTTTTCTGTTTTTAATGTCATTACTATTATAATAAAACCCTTGGGGCAGGCGCAGTGGCTCACGCTTGTAATCCGAACACTTTAGGAGGCCGAGGTGGGTGCATCGCCTGAGGTCAGGAGTTTGAGACCAGCCTGGCCACCATGACAAAACCCTGTCTCTACTAAAAATACAAAAATTAGCCGAGTATGGTGGCAGGCGCCTATAATCCCAGCTACTTAGTAGGCTGAGGCAGGAGAATCACTTGAACCCGGGGAGCGGAGGTTGCAGTGAGCTGAGATCATGCCATTTCACTCCAGCCTGGGCGTAAGAGTGATACTCTGTCTTGGAAACAAAATAAAACACAACAAAAAACCTGGCCAGGTGCAGTGGCTCACACCTGTAATCCCAGCACTTTGGGAGGCCAAGGCAGGCGGATCACTTGAGGACGGGGGGAGTTTGAGACCAGCCCGACCAACATGGAGAAACCCTGCCTCTACTAAAAATACAAAATTAGCTGGACGTGGTGGTGCATGCCTGTAGTCCCAGCTACTCGGGAGGCTGAGGCAGAAGAATTGCTTGAACCCAGGAGGTAGAGGTTGTGGTGAGCAGAGATTGCACCATTGCACTCCAGCCTGGGCCACAAGAGTGAAACTCCATCTAAGGACTGGGCCCAGTGGCTCACGCCTGTAATCCCAGCACTTTGGGAGGCCGACACGGGTGGATCACAAGGTCAGGAGATTGACATCATCCTGGCCAACATGATGAAAACCTGTCTCTACTAAAATACAAAAAATTAGCTGGGCATGGTGGCCCATGCCTGTAGTCCCAGCTACTTGGGAGACAGGCAGGAGAATTACTTGAACCGGTGAGTTGGAGGTTGCAGTGAGCTGAGATCGCACCATTGCAGTCTACCCTGGGCAACATATGAAACTCTGTTTCAAAACAAAATAAAACAAAATGAAAAACCTTGAACTGTTTATCTGCATTTAGTAGAGGAAAGATGAAAGTAATTGTGTTTCATCGTGTGGCTGCTTTTTAAGTCCCCAGCTGTGTTGGTGAGGACAGTGTCTGCAACGCTGGCGTTGTTTGGTTGGCGCTGTATTGTGTCATACCTCGAAGATCAGTAGAAAGTTGTTTCCTCTGACTGTCCCTGTTGCGGAAAGTAGCTGAGGCAGAACTCTGGAAATCATTTTGCCATGTAATGTCAGGGGTTAGGGACATTTTAGAATTGCCAGTATGTTCCAGAAACCTTCCTTGGAAACAGTGTTTCTTTCTCTATCCTTCGCTTTAGGTTGGTCAGCACATTGTCTCAAGTAGCCTTTGACGTCGCTGTGGCCATGGCCAACTGGTAGGACCAGCACCCCATACCCCGAAGCCAGGTGAGTGCCTGGGATCTAGTGTCTGTGGAGTGAAGGCAGCATGCATCCAGCAGGCCTCGGTCAGCTTCTAGGACACTTTAAACTGAGTGCTGCTTCAGCCACCTCCTCAGAAGATGGAGGGAAGCAGGCCCCCTTGAATCGCACACTGTGCCATTTCTAAGGGGCTGCCTGGCCCTTCCCCTCAAGTCTCAGGGAAGAAGAACCCATTCTAATTGGTCATTCATCTGAAAACCCTAGGCCTAAATAGGATGAGCCTGTCCTCTCTGAGGGTCAGGGGCAGAGGGTGATTCTGGCCAGTGGCCTTTGCCCTCTGGCCATTCCCATGATTTCCCAACATTGATAGACACTGTTAGATTTTTTTTTTCCTTAATCACCGGAAAGCATGGGGCCCTGCACTGGTTCTTGGAGCTGGTTGTCCTTACCTTGCCCTGTACCTCATGGCAAAGCTGAGCTGCCCCTGCTGGGTGGAGCTCTTATGCGAAGACTGTCAAGAGCTGTCTGAACCTACCAGGGCATTGCTGGATACCTCGGATTTTCTCTGTTACACACATCAAGCCTGGTCAGCGACATTTTGGCCCTGGGCTACCCTACCTGGAGCACGCAGAACTGGGAGATGTTTTAGAACTTGGAGGCAGCTCCTGGGTCAGCTGTTCCCTTTTATAGACCGGGACACACATGGGCCAGAGTTAGCAGGTGACTTGCCTAGAGGTTTATGCCCCATCTAACAGAACCTTGCCAGCCACACAGTATGAGATGTGGGCGCTCTGCTGACCATGGTACATAACAAGTGTTGGGGTCAGTTTTGTGAGGTTTCAGCTTTTATCTTCATATGGCAAGAAAATATGGGCATGGTCACGTGATTCTGTTGTTCAGGAAAACATTTCCAGAATGTTCTCCAAACAAAACTTTCCCGGTGCTTCCATTTTTATTTTTGAGACAGGGTCGCACTGTGTCACCCAGGCTGGAGTGCAGTGGTGGGATCTTGGCTCACTGTAGCCTCGAACTCCTGGGATCAAGTGATCCTCCTCGACTCAGGCTCCTGAGTAGTTGCAAATACAGACACGTGCAATCACACTCAGATAATTTTTGTATTTTTTTGTAGAGACAGAGTTTGCCGGGTTGCCAAAGCTGATCTCGAACTCCTGGCCTCAAGTGATCCTTGTGCTTTGGCCTCCCAAAGTGTTGGGCATACAGGCATGAGTCACCATGCCCCGCCAAAAAAATGTTTTTGCAGCCTATTTGCTTACCATACAATTGACTCATTTAAAGTGTGCAATTCAGTTCTTTTTAATATGCATATTCAAGTGTTCTACAACTGCCGCCTCTGTTTCATTCCAGAACATTTTCATTACCTCAGAAAGAAACTGCATACTCATTAGCAGTCCCTCCTCATTTCCCCTTCCCCTTTCTCCTGATGACCCCTCATCTACTTTCTGCCTCTGTTGATTTACCTGTTGTGGACATTTGTTGTAAGTGGCCTTTTGCGTCTGCCTTGTATTATTCAGTGTGTTTTCAAATTTCATCTACATTGTAAGCATGAATCAGTGCTACTCTTTTTGTGACTAAATGATATTATATGGAGGGACCACATTTTGTTCATTCATTGATGGACATTTGGGTTGTTTCTGCTTTTTTAGTTACTGTGAATAGTGCTGCTTTTAACATTCGTGTACAAGCTTTTGTTTGAATACCTGTGTTGTGTTCTTCTTAGTATATACCTGAGGTGCAATTACTGGATCATATGGTAACTCTCCGTTAAACTTTTTTTTAGGAATTATCAGACTGTTACCCATGGCGCCTACCCTATCTTATGTTCCCCCACATTTACCACACAGGGCTCCCAAAGCTCTTCGGAGATAAGGTCAGACTCAAAGTCTGCCAGTTTTCTACCAAGAGATGAGACTTGTCAGAGCCTGTTACCTGGTGCTGGTGCCATTGTGCCATAACTTCCATTTGGGGATGTCAGGCATTAGCAGAGACAGGAGGACTAGGGACTCAGTGTCACAAAGCCACACAGCTTTCATCGTGTTTGCTCACCCCGTTTTTGTTTTTTGGTTTGTTTTTTTTTTTTTTTTTTGAGACAGAGTCTTGCTTTGTCGCTCAGGCTGGAGTGCAGTGGCACCATCTTGGCTCACTGCAACCTCTGCCTCCTGGGTTTTCAAGCAATTCTCCTGCCTCAGCCTCCCAAGTAACTGGGACTATAGGTGTGTGCCACCACACCCAGCTAATTTTTTGTGTTTTTAGTAGAGATGAGGGTTTCACCATGTTAGCCAGGATGGTCTCGAAAACTCCTGATGTCATGATCCACCCGCCTCAGCCTCCCAAAGTTTTGGGATTACCGGCATGAACCACCGCCTCCGGCCACTCACCTCCTTTTTGGAGACAGGGTCTTGCTCTGTCACCCAGGCTGGAGTGCAGTAGTGTGTTCTTGGCTCACTGCAGCCTCAACATCCTGGGCTCAAGTGAACCTCCCATGTCATCCTCCTAAGTAGCTGGGACTACCAGGTGCGGACCACCATGCCCAGCTTGAGCTCACCTCCTTTTTATTGAGGGGAAAGCACTCACAGCCAGCCCAGGGAAGCGAGTGACTGCCTCTTGTCCTGTAACCCAGGGCATTGTCCGAGGGCAGCAGGGCTGGCTTTGGTTTCTCCCAGGCCCAGGCTGGGTACCTGCCCCCCCACCCAACGCTTTTTTTTTTTTTCTTTTAATGGAACGCTTCACTAATTTGGATGTCATCCTTGTGCAGGGACCATCCTATTCTCTGTATCATTCCAATTACTGTTATTATTTTTTTTTGGTAGTATATGTGCTGCCAAGGTGAGCGCCTGCCTGGCCCTTTCTTTACTCAGAAGCACATGGTCTGAGCAGTAGGTACTTGTTAATGAATAAATGAATGGAGAAAACCTTTCTCTTCTCTGTCACCAGCCAGTAGGGAGAACCTCGTCATAGCATTCAAGCAGTCAGTTTGGGAGTTCAGAAGGGAATTTCCAGGGGCCATCCCACGTTTCCCTTTGGCCCGTGCATGAAGGGACTTGATGGAAAAGGACAATCTAAACAGTCGTGGCATGCGATGCTTAGTGGTCACACAGGCAGAAGGCACCCTTGAGTAATTATTTCTTCAGGACTTAGAAAATGTGTCAGCTTGTATGTACTCTTTGTTATGGGTGTGTAAGACAGCCCAGCAATCAGTCCATCAGAGTTGACTGATTTTAGTTTTCTCCACAAAATGCAGGTTTCACCCACTCTTGGGTGTGTCTCACTCAGCACTAGCCCACACTTGCTTTCAGTTGAAACTATGGACTGTGATCTGCTGGGGTGTCCCCATTCCTGCCACCCAGGACCACATGGGCACAGTGGAATGAGCAGGGCTGGAGGAAGGCTGGCCCACGATGTGCCCAGCAGCTCTCTCCAGTGCCTGAGGCACAAGGTCTACACACAACACCCACTTGTGTGCACATTTGTTCCTGTGGGCCCAGGGTCGGTCTTACCTGCTCATGGACTTGGTGTCTGCCCTTGAATTTGGCCTGTCAGGTCCTTTTTGTTCAGCAGTCACACACTGCCTAGTGCTGGGTGTTAAGGATCAAAAATGGGTATGACTATAGAAAAGCAGATCGCATCACAGGACAGGTAATGCACATGGGCCAAGGTGCGAATGATGCTCAGTCTTTCTGATATAAGAATCCTGCACGTTGGAGTGCCACCAAGTCATTTCTGACTTTTCGGTTGGCAGACATCTGGAGTAGACACTGTTCTAGTGGTGGGAATCAGATAGTGCGGTGGTAGTTGCTTTTGGGATTCACAGCTCCTCTCAAGGGTATTTGTAACATCTAGCAAAAGGACAGGTGGCCAGGCCTAGTGGCTCACGCCTATAATCCCAGCACTTTGGGAGGCTGAGGTGGGTGGATCATTTTTAAGTCAGGAGTTCGAGACCAGCCAGGGCAACATGGTAAAACCCCGTCTCTACTAAAAATACAAGATTAGCTGGGTGTGGTGGTGCACACTTATAATCCCAGTTACTTGGGAGGCTGAGGCAGGAGAATTGCTTGAACCTGGGAGGCAGAGGTTGTAGTGAGCCAAGATCACTTCTCTGCACTCCAGCCTGGGTGACAAAGTTGAGACTTTGTCTCAAAAAAAAAAAAAAAAAGACTTGTTTATTCTTTGCTCCAGCAGATCCACTTCTGGAAATGTATCCCAAACATGGTTAGAAATAAGGAAGGATTGTGACAAGGACTGTGTTCATTACAACATTCAGAAACAAACAAAGCTGGGAATGACTTAGATGTGTTAGTAGATGGGCTGAGCGACTCCTGGTGGTGGATCTTCCTGTAGGGTAGTGCCTGAGCCCCTGAGTGAAGGGAGGAGTCGGTAGTGATTTCATTTGTGGTGACAGGATTTCTAAGGTGAGGTGACAAGCAGAAAAAAGAATAATGTAAATGAAGAAGAGACGGAGTGTGCTGTCACTTACCTAAGGAAAGTTGGTGTGGGGGGGGAGGTTGTTCCCCTTATTTTTATAAACCATAAAGGAACTGCATGGTTGCCTCTAACAGAAGGGATGGAAGAGGGCACTGGGAGACTTCTTCACATGTTCTTTCTTTGTGGCATCATGTACATGCATTACAATTATGAAACAAAAGCCAAGTGGAGCCAGTGGAGGGGGGAAGCAATCCCTAAAAACCAAAGATAAAAGCAAGTGAATCTAGATGCATTTCAGTTGTGAGGCACATTGATGACTTGACCTCTCAGGACTTATTTCTGATAACTGTAAAACATAGTAGTTTGTCTGTCACTGTTTCGGTGAGATCGCAATAAGAACAAACACGTTTCTTAAAATCTTAAACTTTTTTTGGAATTGTCGTTTTGGTTTCAGGGTAACAGTATTACTCCTCTTGTATATTGTAAGAGGAAACAAGTAATTAATGTCACTAAGAACCAAAATTTTCTGCGCAAAGGAAAAATGCAAATATAAAACCCAAAGCACTAGGGTTTTTTTGTTTGTTTGAGGCAGGGTGTTGCTCTGCTACCTAGGCTGGAGTGCAGTGGCGTGATCATAGCTCACTGTAGCCCCCAGCAGTCCATCTGCCTCAGCCTCCCAAGTAGCTGGGACTATAGGTACACTACCATGCCCGGCTAATTTTTAAATTTGTGTTGTAGATAAGGGGTTTTACCATGTTGTCCAGACTGGCCTTGAACTCTTGAGCTCAAGTGATCCTCCCACCTCAGCCTCCCAAAGTGCTGGAATTGTAGGCGTGAGCCACTGCACCTGGCCAAGACCTGAAGTATTTTAAGTAAAACGCTTAATTCTGATTCTGCACAGGGAACATGGTAATTGTGTAAGGCACTACTGAGGTTGTATCAGAAGGACCCCCGGGGCCCCACTGGCACGGATGGAACAAGTGAGAGTGAACAAGAACAAGGAACCCCTGAGTTAGATGTGTTAAAAATCCAAGGGGCTGGCCAGGCAAGGCGGCTCACACCTGTAATCCCAGCACTTTGGGAGGGTGAGACAAGTAGATCATTTGAGGTTTGGAGTTCATGACCAGCCTGGCCAACGTGGAGAAACCCGTCTCTACTAAAAATATAAAAATTAGCTGGGCAATAGTGATTCATGCCTGTAATCCCAGCTACTTGGGAGGCTGAGGCAGGAGAATTGCTTGAACCTGAGAAGCAGAGGTTGCAGTGAGCCAAGATTGCCCCACTGCACTCCAGTCTGGGTGACAGATTTTAAGACCCTGTCTCAAAAAAAGGAAAAAAAAAAAAACAAGAAAAAAAAAAAACAAGGGTTTAAGCTGGTTGTGGTTATGCGCACCTGCCGTCCTAGCTGTTCCAGAGCCTGAGGCCGTGAGATTGCTTGAGCTCAGGAGTGTGAGTCCAGCCTGGGCAATGTAGCGGGATCCCCAGCTGAACACAAGCAAAAACCCCCCACAGTTTCTTTTGGTGCTTAAAGGACAAGAAAGAAAGTCAACAATCCCCTTTGGTAGGTGTTAGGGAGCCAGCTTGTTTTGAAAATGGATAGAGGGAAAGCAGCAGGCATGTTTTCTGCATCTTCTCTGTGGGCTGCATGCTCCAGGAAAGAAACCATGGGTGAGGGCAAGGTTCCCTTGCAGGGCAGCGCTGGCCCACAGAACTTCCTAGGATGACAGGGATGCTCCACCTGCTGCCCTCCGTGGCACTTGACATAGCATGACTGAGGATGCCGAGTTTAATTTTGTCTATTTAAATAGCCACATGTGGCTAATGGGCAGCACAGCTGTTGATATATTTTAGCAAATTATTATGAAATGACAAAACTTTAAGTTTATTGCAGGCACCTCGTGAATTGGGGGGGGGGGTTCCAGACTATGAGGTCCAGACAGTGATTCTCCCTGGCTGCTAGGCCCCAAGGAGGGTGTCCTCTGCTTCTACAGGAATGCATACTCATCACGCTTCAAGGTCTAGTTTACGAGAAATTGGGGGCCTGTGGACTTATGCCACAGGGACACCATTCGCAAAACCAACAGTGGGAAACAGGACAAGCATCCTAACTTCTTCAGCATATGATAGTCAGTAAGGGGACCTATGGATTTCAACCAGGTGTGACTCCAACAAAGGTGGAGGGATGAGGTGGGGTCACGGTATTGTGGTCATGCTTGTCATGTAGAGATACTGAACCCTTCAGCACAAGTGCATGTTTCGTAGGATTTGTTTCCTGGAAGCTAGTGGGGGAGAGTGGGAGAAAGGAGCAGTGTGTGGAAGACACAAGGGTGCTCCCCTGATGGCCATGGACTTGAGTGACAAGCACCTGCAGTTAATCATGCCATTCTCTACTTCTATGGGTGGATTTGAAATTTTCCTTAATGAAAAGGGAAAATTGGGTTTGGCCCAGGTCCTCTCTCAGGGAGCATCATGACTGGATCATCTAGAACAGGAGAAACGGCTGTTTATAAAAGCTGAGGTGGAGGCCACGTGGGAGTAGTTTAAATTCAAGCAGAAAACCTTGAGCAGAGACTGGAATTGCCGTAAGGAACTGTGGCCTGTCAGCCCACCAGACAGCCTCTTACACACTCTTATTTTCTGTAATAACAGCACTCGAAGTTACCCTTCTGGAGCTCTCAGGAAGTGTTAGCAATAAAGTGGGTGCTATTCCCATTTTACAGGGGAGGAACCTGAGGCCCTTGGTGGTGAATCAGGCTTTCTGGCTTTGGCCCAACAGCTGAGGGCAGCTTCTGCACCGTGAACTTCTGGGCCTCCTTCCTGTCCCCTCCCCGCTCAGTACCCAGGGCACGTCCGACCACCACTCCAGTCCCCTGACTGATGAAAACCATTTTCCCCTCCCCATTGGTATTGTCCATCCACAGCAGTCGTGGCCCATCTCGAGAGGATAAAGTAGGTGGTTAGCTGGACTTGCACATGACTTTGTTTTGTGAACAGTAGTGCTTAGAGCTGTGATCTAGGGATCCAGCAAACAGTGTGTGAGGGACCTCAACCCTGCCTCTCTCAGGACTATGCTGTGTCTGCTGTGCCCCCTACCCCAAGGGTGTCCCTGATCCCTGAGTAGAAACTTCCGCAGGTGTTTGGACTAATAAGTGAGTAAAACACCTTGTGACATCGAGGCCTGTGGCACTTACCCAATTGTGTGTTAGTGTAAAACCACTGTGTGTCATGGCTGTTGGTCCTGGCACTTTAAGAGGCCGAGGCAGGTGAATCTCATGAGCCCAGGAGTTTGAGACCACCCTGGGCAGCATGGTGAGACCTCATCTCTACAAGAAAATACAAAAATTAACCAGGTGTGGTGGTGCGTACGTTTAGTCCCAGCTACTTAGGAAGT